ATCTTCATGTTTACAATTGTGCTCCCTTCGCAGTGCACTTTAAACACACTGATGTCATTTTGAACAGAGCCGAGCGGAATTTATGTCACGTCTCCAAAGCTAGTATATTATTTACAGTCATTGCTCCAAAGGTTTATTGTGTATTTTTAAAAAATACACAATAAATAAACAATATCCTACTTAATAATAATAACAATAATAATAATAATTATCCTCATCATCATTTATATTATTAATATTATTATTAAAGTAAGATTTTTCTTTTATTTCCTCATAATAATAAATATTAAATTCAATTCTTAATAAATAGCCTCATTATTTATTTATATGATTTCTATATGATATTAGAATAGTGTAAGGGATTTTCTGTTCATTTAGAATAGACAGTGTAATGTTCTCAATATAATTTGATCAGTGTTGGACATTAGTGTCACTACAAGTACTTAACTACATTTCTCAGTAGTGTGACGGTAGCGTCGCTACTTCCTAAATCAGATAGTGAAGCTATTTTTTCAGTCAAGTAGCGCAGTAGCGTCCACACAAGCTACATTTACAGATCCCAGATCAATAAGTGACGGCACCGACATTCACAGAGCTGTGAGGTCAGTGTCTAGCCGATGAAAGTAAATCCATATGATGGCGAGAACAACGATTTCTTCTTCTACCTGTTTTTCAGTGGTCGAACTTTTAGGTGCGTTACTGCCACCTCTCACTCTGGGGCGTGTTTCTAAAACTCATCGTTAGCCAACTAAGGTTGCAAGTTGGGTCGTTACAAACATAGTTGGTTGATTTGACGTTTCCCAGATCCGTCGTTCCAACGAACATTAACAAACTACGTTGTAAACTTGTGCACTTGCAGCTACACCTGTGGAGCAGTAGTTAGAAACAGAGTTCCTGACTGTGTTCTGTTCCCATTTATCCCCCCTATGCCCTATTCATTTAGAACATTCTGACATTTAAACTTGGAATGATTAATATAAAGCATTAGTCATCTCTCTAGACTTGCTGCATTTCCCAGAGGGTAGCTTTTAGTGTAGTTAAGCTGCATTTTAGGAAGAGTAGCTTACAGCTTAGCTCACTACATTTTTCAAGTAGCTCGCCCAACACTCCTGTGGGGTGTCTGTTGAGAAACTGCAGAAGGTGTGTGTGTGTGTGTGTGTGTGTTATAACAGAGATCTGATTTCCTGTTTCTGATTTCCTGTACAGCTTCAGCCTCTTCCTGCTGACGCTTCACTGAAGCCTACAGCAAATGAACATGCCCTGACTGCAAAAAGTGATTCACTACAGCGATTCACACTGATGACTCACTGAGTCATTTTAGTGATTCAATCAAT